TGCCAAGCTCTGATCTCATGGTTGTCTGAGCTAGCTGGGTGACAGCATACTCTGGATCCTCTACACCGTAGCTTGCCTGAAAGAAGCATGGATGGTTTAAGTTTGCGTTCAGGATTTTCATGAGCAGAACAACTGAATAAAGCAAGGACAGATACCTTGTAAGGGTCCATGATGCGCAGGTAAAGGACTCCATCGATTTGCAGAGTTACATTGTCTGCAGGTGCAGGGGCAGGAGAGAAAAGGAGGAAGGTCAGGCCTCAGGTCCCAATGATCTCTTTCTCCTAAGCTCTGGATCTCCTGCAACAACATCTTAATGGCCTCAGAGCACCCATGTCACCTGCATCCCTCACCAAGAGTCACAGCCGACTGCTCAGGCACATTGATGACAATTTCCTTGAGGCTCTGCACATATCGGATCCGGTCTAACACAGGGATGAGGATGTTCAATCCCTGGGAAGAGGAATCATTGGTCATCAGAAGGATGGAAGCTGTAGGGTTGGGATCCAACCTAGGGTAGGGATTCCATATATGGAACATGCCCTGAAAAGCAGAAGGCTGGGGGTGTCACTGGTATGGAAGCCCAGTGGTATAGGAATGTGAGGCTGGGCCTTTGAATGGAGGAGGGAATCAAAGGAATGGGAGCCAGGGAAATAACCTTCTCCAAGCAGACAGGTGGAGCTGAGAGGGTGGACAGGGTAAATTCCCAAGAATGGGGTCTGTGGGATGGTAGGGCAATAGTGAAAGGTGGGTAAAACACGGGTATGACAGTCAGCAGCCATGGCCCTGCCGGGTCAGGCTGGGAGTTGGAAGACAAAGGTGAGTGAGGGCGGGCCCCAAAGAGGTCCCACCCCTTCCCCCCACGTTGTGAGGGAACTGGGCATCAGTCTGGCCTGGCGTGGGCAGAAAAGGTTCTCACAGGCTCCAGAATCCGGTGGAATCGGCCCATTCGCTCCACCACCCAGGCCTCCTGCTGCGGCACAAACAGTACTACGGTGTTTCGGGGCAATCCGGAGGAGGCGCGACGCGGAGCGCGGCCAGAGGCCTGCACAAAGCCCTAAAGGGAAGACGGAGCGTTCGCAGAGACCGCAGACGGCCATGCGCCTGCCTCTCTCAACGCCGGTCCCGGGGGCATTTTGCTATAAACTGCGATCCTAAACGGTCCTCGGAGAGAACTCACGTGGATGCCATGACCTCTGACCCCAGTTCTCTCCCCAAACTTAGAATCCCGCTCCTTCCCAGCTGACCTCCCAGGTGATCTCTGGGGCGACCCTTGGAGAAGGCTGCCTCGCACTTACCCTCAGCAAGAGGGCCTCAGTGCCCCGCGCAGCGCGCGCCAGCATTTCCCACAGCCGCAAACCCTCCGGAACCAAAGAGATGCGGAGCAGAGCCGCCCCGGAAGCCCGGACCTGAGCCTTTCCTTCTGTGTTTCCACTCCTCCGGACGTACTTCCGGCCGTCCCTCCACCTCTCCCCACACTCAGCCAATCAGCGTGACTTGACAGAAGCTGGCATCAAGTTGTTCCCTAGGAAACTCAGACCTTCTGCAGGGCCGAAGGCTGCAGCTCGTTCTGTTTCGCTTTGATGAAGCCCAAGATCCCGGACATGGCGACCAAAATGCAGGCTATTTTCTGCGTGCAGGTGGCCCACAAACAACTCTTCTTAAGTTTTTTACCCCCACCCAAGAATCAGTTTACCCTTCTTGGCGTTTGTCCCCACCAGTCACCATAGCGATAGGGGATTGGAGCTGACTCGTTACCATGGTTGCCATAGTGACATTTTCTTGTAGTCCTGCTGTTATACCACTGGGAACTGACCCCCCCTATTCCTGTTGCCATGGCAACAGGGCACAACATTGCCCATGATTGGGCAGAGATTTCCGCTACCTCTCTTTCCCAAGGCATCATGGCTATTTTCTACCTTTACCCAGTCAGGGTCCATCAGGCCTAGTTCCCTTGCATAGCATCCAGCACAGCCCCATCTTTCAGCCTTGTCTGGAGTATGTCAACCTGTCCACATCCCTGATGTTTGGGCACATCCTTTAAGAGACTTGAATAGTCACCCTCATTTTACGTTATCAGGGCAATGAAGCTCAGAGGGGCTAAAATCAGTAACGACTGAACCAGTAGGAGAATCTAGATCCACATCCAGAGAATCAGCTTTTATGGGTGAAGCCTCCCCACCACCCTACTCCATCTGAAAAGAGCAGGACCAGACCCTAAGAATCATTGGGGCCTTGCCTAAGACTTCATGGCCTCAGGCCTTCTCTCAGGGAAAAAGGACAGTCCCAGCTGTCCACTGCAGACAATGTAACTATTCAAATAGATGGAGTCCTTTACCTGGCCCTGATTCTCTCCTAGGTAAGAACACCTAAAGAACTCCTGCCCCCAATCCCTCATTCTCCTCACAAACTAATTTTGGGTTGATGTCAGGTCATACCAGGAAGGGGGCTAGGGCATTTTGCCCTCCATTCCCATTCCTATGCTCTCCCCAACAGAAAAAGTAGGACTTAGCTCAAGTTTCCAAACAAGAATTTATTCTTTTTTTCCTAAAAAAAGTACCAGGTACAATTTTTCTTTTTATTTTCTTTTTTTCAAGTTTCAGCAAATGCTTGTTCCCCTCAGCCCAGCCCTAGGAGTCAGGGCTAAGGCTGGGTCAGAGTCTGGAGTGGGGAATGGGGTAGTTGGGAACCACACGATTGAGCTTGAGGGGTGCCCCTCACCCCAGCTGAGGTAGGTGGGTCAGAGTCTGGCCAGATAGGAGGCACCCTGATCCTTAGCCCTGACTCTACCCTCTGAACACCTTCCTCAGTCAGAACCCCAAAGCAAGGAGACACAGGCAGGAGGAGAGGGACAACGAGTCTGGAGCCCTACATGAGGGGTGATTAACCCGTGTGTGTGCATGCATGCACACTTTCTCACACGCACACCACACACATACACGCTGTGCACACAAGCACACCAGTGCACATGCACGCGTGCACACATGCACACACACACATATGTGAGTTGGATTTCAGAGAGGGGTCAGAGGAAGGGGTAGGGGAAGTGAACGGAACAGGGAAGGACAGAGGAAGCTGAGTCTTTGGCTAGTGACTCAGTCCTTCTGGGATCCCCTCTCTGCCCTCAGCTGAGGGAAAGCAGTTCTCTCCCAGCCCCCACATCAGCCTCTTCAATTTCTAAGGCTGCAGCAATATCTGAGAGCAGGAAAGGGGAAGGGGCAATGCCAATGATCAGGTTGGGAGGGGACCAAGGCGATCCAATTTGAATAAATTATAAATTAAAAATAAATAAAATAATAAGTGGCCCCTGCCCAGGACAGGGAGGCAATGCTGGCACGATTTGCCTGGGAACTTGGGACAACCTCAAGGTAGCTCCAGATCCTCCCTGCTATCTAAGCTGGCCTGGGAAATTCAAGGGAAGGCGGAGGCATATGGAGTACCCAGAGTAGGGCAGAGCGTGGTAAGGATCAGAAGCTTTAAATACCCAAATAATTAATTTGGGCATGAGCATGATGAGGGCTTTAATTCAAGCCTGAAAGGTCTCTTGCCACCTTTCCACGTGTTTGCTTTGTCCAGGATGGAGCAGTATGGGGAGGTCCTTGACCCACATGGGTTCAGGGACTGATAATCAGAGCAAAGGTGAATAACGTGGATTGTGAGGGGCCTCAGTCACAGCCTGCAGTTCATAGGGGAGCCCCGTGTCCAGTTCCAGGCTCCGGCGGGAAAAAAGCAGGCGGATGTCTCCATGCAGGCTTAAGCGGCCTGAGCGGGAGCTCCGGAACCTGGGAAAGGCACATTGATCAAGGTGAAAATCAGTGAGAAAGCAAGGAGATGCTACTCAGGGAAGGGGTACCTTGACTGGGGAAAGGATGCACTGGTCTCCCCAGCTGCCCCTAAATAAGCCCTGTCCTCACCTGAGGTGCAGCAAATAGCAGAGGAGGCGGCGGGTGGGGCTAGCATTTCTCTCCTCACCCACAGGCACCAAAAAGAGGCGATGGCGCAGGAAGGTCATGTGGGCAGCAGGCATGTCCGAGAAGTCAAAGGTCACAAGGAACATCTTCACCACAGTCTGATTGGGGTTAAATAAGGTCTGGGAGCAAGAAGGCAAGGTTGGCAGGGCCTAGGGGCTGTTTTCCTCTCCTCCCTCCCCCCAGTTAGGGAAAACTCACCACTTGGATGGTGCCCACCTTGGGCACGCTGTAACCCTTCCTCCCCAGGGGGTTCAGGTCCACGACGCCCTGGGAAGGCCAAGGAGCCATCAGCCAAGGTGGGGTCTGGGAGAGCCCTGGATACTCATCCATCTTCACAATCTCTCACTCTGGGACCCGGCCCCTGCCCCACACTAGAGCTCTTCCCACCTGGCTCTGATTCTTTCCTAGGTGAGAAGACCTAAAGAACTCCTGTCCTCAACCCTCATCCTCCTCACAAACTAATTTTGGGTTGATGTCAGGTCATACCAGGAAGGGGGCCGGGGCATTTTGCTCAGACACATCAAAAAAGGTGACAGTGACAGGCAGCGTGACATGCTGGGGGCAGTAGGATCCACTAGCTCCAATCTCTGCCGTGAAGCCCTCAATGTGGCCAGATGGTGCAAAGCGTCCTTGTAGTAATGATTCCTAGGTTTGGGGTGGGGAAAGCATATTATGTGAGTGAAGCCACACTCCACCATCCCACTTCCCCCCAAATCTCCCAATCATGGAAACCAAGGGAAACTACCTCAAAGTTGCCCAACAGAGTACGGCTGACAGCAGGGGTAGGAACAGGGGAGGCACTAGGAGAGTTCAGCAGGCCTGGCCCCTTCCGAAGGCTTCGAAGGGAGCTCCTGGTAGGCAAAGGGACAAATAGTGGGTTGGCTTGAGGTGTTCTAGGATGCTTGCTCATGTCCTTGGGCTCCACCCTTAGCCACTACCTAGGGCTCCTGCCCTGGGGACCCTACCCTGGGGTTGGACAGAGGATTATAGCCTTTTGCCCCATTTTCAGGCACAGGGCAGAGGGAGAAGCTGGTCACTTACAGCTTTAGGCGACATGCACCTTTCAGCCTCCGCCCCACAGGACTGCAGTCTGTTGGGTCCTGTAGAGAGGAAAGATTAGGGAAGGAGACTAGGTGAAGGCCAGGTATGCTTGGGAGCAGGGCTTATCACAAGCTCTCACAGGAAACTCCCCCTCCCCAACCTCCACCCAAGACCTTCACTTTTTCCCACATAGATAACCAATTAAGAGTAGATCGCCTCTTCTCATGACTTACCAGCACAGGCTCCTTGGGCCCAGGCAGCAGGTGGCTCCAGAAGGGTGTGGCTTTGGCATCAGAACTGTTGGCAGCAGGAGGGTGGCCCAGGGTTCCCCGGCGCCTCCGAGGGGCTGGCCCCTCATCCTCAGAGCTGACATCCAGGGCTTCTCCAGCAGGAAGCAGCCTTCGCTTGGTAGGGCAGGGGCCTGGAGGTCCAGGGCCAGGGGGTGTGTGCTCGGGACTACGCCCATTGGCAGTGCCAGGGGACTCCCTAGGCCAGGGGCTGCCCCGTTTGCCCACCCCAGCCACTGGGCTCTTATCCCCTATTTGTGCAAGACTGTGCAAATCAGTGTCAATTGTGTGCAGCTGGGTTGGAGGGGCTGGCCCTGGGGACTCGCCCAGAGACCCCTGTCCCCCTGGATCTGGGGAAGCCCAGTCTCTGGTGTGCAAAGTATTGCAGGAAGCATTTGATGGGGGCCAAGGGGAACTCTGGGTCCCTGAAGTCCAAGGTGAGGTGGAGCTACCTCCCTGTTCCACAACACAGAGGCCATGATGGCAGAAATGCTGGCTGGCCACACCCAGCCCCAGCCCCAGTCCCTCGAGGCCCAATAGTCCCACAGTAAATGGTTCTTCAGGGGGTAATCCCTCTCTGGTCCCCAGCCCAGGGCCTCTCTTCAGCTCCCGGGGACCCTCAGTAGGTGGGGCCGGCCTTTTCAAGGCCTTATGAGGCTCAGAGGCACCAGCTGGAGGGGAAAAGATGGATACCTGGTAGACCCCGCGGGATGTCGCCCCCCCTGCTGGGCTGTAGCCCATGAGCAGGCCACCCTGTAGAGCCCCCTGCCTGGCTGCAGGCTGCGAAGGGCCAGCCTCTGGCTCTGAGGATGGAGACGGCTCCGCCTGCACGTGGCGCATGAAGCCCCCACTTGGGTCAGGGGGGGCCCCCCCCACAGCCTTTATGCAGGGCCTGGGCTGGGGGGCCTGGGGACATCTGTGCAAAAGAAGAGAAAAAAAAGGTGGTCAGAGGAATCAATGAGTCTTCTCCCTCCCATCTGAGTTTCAGATCCTCCCCTGGCCTGAGGAGGTGACGAGCTTTCGGAGTTCCTGGGAAGAAAAGTTTCCAAATCCCCAGATGGGTTAATGGAATATAGAGACCACTCCTGGAACTTCTGAGAGGGTGGTATGTTTAGCTCAGGTTTCTTACTGGATCTTCTCCCTTTCCTCCTCCCTGGCACTCACCCCGATGAAGAGGCCTTAAGCCTAGTTGTGTGTTCCCTCTTCCTGACTGTTGCCTTGCTCCCTTAGCTTGCAGTCTGGTCCATGCCTGCTGCACTGGCAAGGTGACTGCCACCATTCCGTGCAGCTCCTGGGCTCAGCCAGAC